CGGACAGAAACTCAAGTCCTCGGACCGAAGGTCAGCTCCTCGGACTGAAGGTGTAGTCCTCTCGGATCGAAAGTGAGAAGAGAAGAGTAGAAGGTCAGGCTCGGTTTGGAATGATCAGGGGACCGAAATAGACCGAGCGCTCGGTCCATTTCGGTTGAGAGGGTTTCGGTTCTTAGGAGGTTCGATTCTAAGAGGTTCGGCTCCTAAGAGGTTCGGCTCCTAAGAGGAGTTTCGGTTCCTAAGAGGAATTTCGGCTCCTTAAGGCTGTTTTTCGTGTAGACTTCCGTTTTCGAGCGGTTTTCGACTAAATTAAGGGTCGGGATGCCCCGAGTGATTTTAAGAAGTTGAGAGAGATTTTCAGAGAGATTTGGGAGAGATTCGACATACTTGGAGAGATTTGGCATACAGAGAGAGATTTGGGAGAGATTTCACATATATTTGGGAGAGATTTTTCTTGGAGAGATTTTACAAAGAGAGATTTGGGAGAGATTCCAAATACTTGGAGAGATTTGGGAGAGATTTGACATTATTGGAGAGATTTCTCATACAAAGAGAGATTTGGGAGAGATTCCACATACTTGGGGAGATTTGGGAGAGATTTCACACACTTGGAGAGATTTCTCATACAGAGAGAGATTTGGGAGAGATTTCACATACTTGGAGAGATTTGGGAGAGATTTCATACACTTGGAGAGATTTCTCATACAGAGAGAGATTTGGGAGAGGTTCCACATACTTGGAGAGATTTGTCTTACTTAGAGAGTTGTGGGAGAGTTAGAGTGAAAGAGATTGGGAGAGACTTCTTTTGTGACCTTTTTGAGTGTTTGGCTTCGCTACGCAAGGTTCTTACACTCTGTTAAGCCTTGTTATGAATGTTATACGCTCTCGAGGGGTATGGAATAATGTTTTATCGAGTAGATTCATCACTTACCCTAATTAGGGTTTAGAATTTCCGAACACGTGAAAACTCTAAATGAAACTTTATTTTAAGATTGCGAGTAGTTCAATAAGAATCATAATGGAAACCCTAATATATATAAGGGTTAGATGAGTTGACCGGTTTGACTTGTTGACTTTAGTTGACTTTGACTTTGACTTGGCCAAAAATTGACGGTTGTCACACAATCAATTGGATGATGCAAGATCAAATGAAGAAGAATGAGAAGAAGAATAAGATGAATCTAATGTATTGATGATATGAATGAAGTTCCTTACAAGAGATTCACACACACTTAACACCACTCTCTCTCTCTCTCTCTCTCTCTCTCTCTCTCTCTCTTCTAGCCGTACATACTCTTACCTTGCCTCACATCCTATATATATATATATATATATATATATATATATATATATATATGGCACATGGGCCGTGAACAGGTTCGCGGACGTGAACCAGTTCACGGCCGTAAACACTCATTGGACCGTCAACACTTAACCGCACACACCACATGGATCGAAAACTATTAAAGCCTAGAAAATTAAAGTATAAACCATATTTTGACCCAACAATCTCCCCGTTGGTTTATAGCTTTATTTTCTAATTGACCCAACAAACTCCCCCTAAAAGTGTAGTTGGCTTTTCTTGTCAATCTTCAGTTGGAGCTTGGCTTCAGCGTTAACCTTTAAATTCTTCACAGCTTCAAGATGAACTTGATGAATCTTCAATAAATGACTTCATCTTGAGCAGTTGGGCATTTCTTCAAAATTTTACTCTGTACGCACATTGGGTGAGGAGGCTTGATGTATTGATTCTTGAAAGATAGCGCTTTCAGCTTGAGAATCTTCAGAGAGAATATCAGAGAGAACGAATCTTCTGGATCACTTCAGCAGGTTCATGAATAGAAGCAAATTGATTGAGGAGGCTTCAATGCAATCTGTCACATAATCTTCAAGTCAGCTTCACCTTGCTTCTGGGGTTGAAAGATTTAATGTTGAAAGAATAGTCTTCATTTCTTGTTCCTTCGAATGAGAATTCTTCGATGATCACGTAGGAAGCCTTGGCTCAGAAAATCTCGATACAGTCTCCATGAGTCTCATCTACATCTGAATTCACTTTTCTAGACAAAACAAAATTTGGTATAAAAACAAAACTAAAAACAAAGTTAACACACAATATTTTTTGGATTTTTTTATATTTTCTGAAAAATAAAACAGAAACAAAAATATTTTTGGATTTTTTTATAAATTGGGCCACTCTTCTCTGCTTGTTTCCATTTGTAGAGATCCGATGGGGGGAGTCGAGCTTGTCCAATGGGAAGGGTTGTTGGCTCTTATCCATTCTGTTTCCCTCTCTCCAGCTATTGATAGATGGTTTTGGTCTTTATTGGGTATGAGAGACTACTTGGTTAGCTTTACTCGGTCCTATATTGATGGCATTTATTTATCGACTGCTAGCATGCCAACCAGATGGGTTCGAATTTTCCCTATCAAGATTAACGTCTTTGCTTGGCGTCTCTCTCTTGATAAACTCTCGACTAGAGTTGTTCTTTATAGCCGTGGTTTGGATGTGACATCTTTGTTGTGCCCTCTTTGCGAGAATTATTTGGAGATAGGTTCTCATTTGTTTTTCTATTATGATTTGCATTGATTTTTCATGCTTTGCTTTCTAGATGGTGGGTTTTCTCGATCCCTTCTCTTCTTTCATACACGAATTAGTTTGTATGGTTCAAGACACTTAGACTTTTGGTGGATGTAAAGAATTTCTTGGAAGCCATCTTCTATGCGTATTGGTGGCATATGTGGTCCTTCAGGAATGTCACATTGTTTGGCAAGGATAAACCTGGAGCGACGAGTGTTTTTGATAATAATGTTACTCAATTTTTTTGGCGTAATGTTAGGTGTGAGAAAGACGTTCATTGAGTTGGGTGACTTCATAACCCCCGACTAGCGATTATGTAGTGTTTTGTTTCTTTTCCCGCTAGTTTCTTAGTAGTTCTGAAGTATAAAATATTGTGTCCCAAATCAACACTAGCTCACACTTGCCGCTAGTCTCTTATTTCTTTGTTATATGATGGGATTGCCGTTTAAAAAAAAAATATGGTACAAAAAAACAAAGAGAAAAAAGGTTTAAAAGAAGGACAAATTGCAAGAATGGTCCCTATGGTTAGGTCGAAATTGCCACTTTGGGCCAAACAGGTTTGGACTAGCAATCATGGTCCAAAAGTTTTCATTTTCTTGCCACTTTGGTCCAATTTACTTTAAATTTTTTAATAATGACCATTTTGCCCTTTCTTTTTACTTTTTCAGTTTATTTTTATTTATTCAAATACTTTTATTAAAAGAAAAAGAAAAAAGAAAATACATCTATCTCTCTCTCTCTCTCTCTCTAACAAAAGAACCCAGATTTATACTCAGGAGCAAACTAATTTGTATTTTCAAGATTTGTAAATCCACACAAGAATCAAAACAAATCTCCACAAATAAACAAATCATAACTGCAACATTAGATTACATAGATTTTGGTTTTGGTGAGTTTAGAAAGAAAAAAAAAATCATTGAGACCCCATCTCTCCATCTCCGACCCCATTTCATGTTCATCATCGTTTCACCTTACATCATAACCATTCTCACCATCCTACCACTCCAGCTTCCACCGTAGTTTCCACAGCCACCACAAGATTTTCTTCCTCATTATCGTCCCTCACAACATAGGAGGTAAAGGTAGTTGTTGGGGGTGTAGTTCTTAAATACTACCTTGAAAATAACCGGATGCCTCCAAAGTCTGAACATTAAGCAACGGGTGTTGGATATGATTTTACGAAGAGAAAAAAATTTATAGATGGATCTCGAATTTGGTGTCCGACTAAATAGAAAGAAGGAAAGAGAATGGAGAGAACGGGGAGTCTTTCTTTTGGAGTTGACTTAATCTTGATCATATCGGGATAACAAGAAGGGGGAGAAAAGGTGCGATGTTGAATTTGGAGTTCATCAGTCCATCGATGTTCCATCTTCCTCCACCCACTTCATCGTTTAATCAAAAAGGAATACCACTGAAGTTGACGACAAGATCGAAAAGGAATACCTTAGACATTCGATTTTCCATGGAAGCACAAGATTAGGTCACCTCTACCTCAAAAATCGCTCCCTCTTTCTTAATCCGAAAAACTCGTGCTTCCCACCATCAGTTGGGTTGGATGGTTGAGGAAAGGACGGGAGATACCAACAATATGGTTAGGGGGTCGATTCTTGAAGAAATTGAGGTTTCAATTTTTGGGTTTAAGGAAAACAAGAAGAACGGTAGAACACAGATGTGGAAGACAACTTTAGAGAGAGAGAGATAGAGAGGAGAGAGAGAGAGAGAGAGAGAGAGAGAGAGAGAGAAGAGAGAAATGTATTTTCTTTTTTTCTTTTTCTTTTAATAAAAGTATTTGAATAAATAAAAAAAACTGAAAAAGTAAAAAGAAATGGCAAAATGGTCATTATAAAAAAATTTAAAGTAAATTGGACCAAAGTGGCAAGAAAATGAAAACCTTTGAACCATGAGTGCTAGTCCAAACCTGTTTGGCCCAAAGTGGCAATTTCGGCCTAACCACATGAACCATTCTTGCAATTTTGTCTAAAAGAAGAGACAAATATGGCAAGAGTTTGTCGTTTTCAAGGCCCGGTGTTTGCCGAGCAATTACGAAGCCAATGCTGTGACCACACCCTAGGTCTAGTACAAGAATAAACAAACGTACTTTGTTATATTTTGTGATAGCCAACATAATAATACACAATATACTTGTACAATTTTATCAATTTATTTAAAATAATTATTAATAATTTGAGGTAACAAACTTAATCTTTTATCAATTTTTTGTAAATACCACAAAAAAAGTAAAAGGCACTACATAAATTAATAAAAAGTTTATTCTAGTATATTAAATAATCAAAGAAATATGCATATACCAATATATGTCCTTTTCCTTTTCCTTTTTTCTTTTTTTGCAATTAACCCTTAACCCTACCCATATATGTTCATGTTTTACAAATGCAAACAATAGTACAACTTTTCATAAATACCATTATATCAGAATTCCAAAAGGCCTTACAAACATCTAACTTGTTTGATCAGTTGTTACCATGCATCGAGTATTTATACGGTACAACTCTTAATTACGTTACTTGGTTGTACCATACAACAACTCAATGCACGCAAAATCAAAAACATATTTACTTAAAACAGAAAAACTAATCTTCAAAAACCACCCCCCACCATTAGATTGATCTTCTACAAAGCGATTTCAGCATGTAGAGCACTGAACCCAACTGTCTGCTGCTCCACCTGAACCTCCCACTTGGCCTGAGGAATTGCTCCATCTTTTACAGGGATGTACTCCTGGTCCCCCCCAAGTTTTATAATTTACACAAAAGGAACAGAAAAAGTTTTATTATGACAATTAGATACAGACAAAAGAAAGTAAAGACTAAAGAGATTGTAAATCTGTCAAGATTCTTTATCACGGCATACCCATTTTGTCTCTGCTATTTTTATGAATATTTCATCAATTATTGGATTCGGTTAGCCCCCGACCAGACATTTTTTTTCATAGTTTCACTTTAGTCCCTACAATTTTACCATTTTCCATTTTCATACCTTCAACTTTGTGATTTCAACAAAATTAGTTTTTACTACAAGATATTCGATGGTGGAGAACTAGTGATAAATCCCACAAAAAGTAAACTAACCTAAAGATTTGTAATTAAACCCCATTGATCTTGCAAAAAAGAAAGAAAGAGACTTTTCAAAAAGTCATTAAGGACCCAATAAGTTATGTACCTTTAGAACCTAATGTGACCCACAAAAGAAGATTGTGAATAATTCTAGACAACAAGATCCGAAAGATATGTGAAGAAGTCTATAAGCCGCTTCCTCTTGGCTCTAGTTTCTTGAAGTGACATTAAGGACGAAAGACCCTATGGCCTATATATTTATTGAAAGACGTTTGTAGTATGTTTTGCATTTAAAAGTTAACCCTATCACTATGAACACTCTTACATAACATAAAAGAGTTGTACAAAGCATTTAAACATGAGATATGATGCATATATGCATGCATTATCCAAGAACAATAATGATGATGATGAGTACACACATACCTCGAGTTTCTGAACAAGTTCTTTGGCATTTGGTGCAGAGACAAAGATGTGACGTTGAGAAGGTTTGATAAATCCATCATCAACTGCTTTATCGATGAATGTGAGCAGATAGTTGTAGTACCCATCAACATTCAGTAAACCCACCTGTACAGTTTTATCATTTCCCACCAAAAAATATCAAAGATTTATCGTTTCAAGAAGTTTTTACCCTTTTCAACACTCAACTATATACCAGTTTTATGAGTAAAGTACAAGTAATCATTGCAGGATTGTTATGGATGCAACACTTTTTGCCACTGCATATGTAAATCCAACAAAAAATACAAAGATTTATCATGTTGAAGAAGGTCGCGGATTTAGGAAAAAGAGTTAGGACCATCGAGAAAGTGTACATACACAAAGCCTACAATCACATATCAACGCCAAAGTACAAGTTTTTTTTTACTGAAAAGTACAAGTCATCGTTGCAGACTTGTTTGGATTCGATAGGTTTACTTGTTGGAGAAAAGGGTAGAAAGAAAGAAAAACAAGTAGTTAAACAACTCAACCCTACAAAAAGTTCAGAACTTTATCTTTTAAACACCCAAGAAAATCCCCAAATCCAAACGAACGTAAAAGTTTTTATGCATAAATTGAGTACAAATAATCTACTTATTGTTGTTCTTGAGTTTGCAAGTTTTAAAGAAGTGAAGTTAGCGAAATTTACAGGTTTGTCATGGATTCCAAGCTGAGCCCAAGTAATAACTTCGAGTAATTCTTCAAGTGTACCATAACCACCTGCGGCTTCAAGTAGTTGTATAATGTAAACATGTTGTGTGCATTGAATAGTTGTACAATGAAAGCTTTGTTGTGCATTAAAGAGTTGTAAAATGGGATACTTGAAGAGGAGCTAGAGGAGGACCTGGTAGGGCAATGAAGCAATCGGAGTGGCGGGCCATCTCAGCTTTCCTTTGGTGCATGTCAGCAACAGCTTTAACCTCACCTATGCTTTCACCCGTTTTCTGTAAAATATTTTAATATATACTAGATATTAATTATTAATTTTGTAAGAAAGAAAACATTTTATTGTATTTTTGTGTTTATCACCTCCTTCCCCATTAAAGCTCTAGGTATGATCCTGCAAAAAGAAACGTTTTTTTAGATTCTTTTTTGATTTACTTGAAGAAAATTAATCACATGAAAAAGAAAAATCGTATATATATTCGAAGAACACAACACCTATAAAGATCGGTTTTTGTTTTTTTTATAGAAAAAGTATAGAAATAAAGGGAATAATTATTAATACCCAAGAACATGACCACCACCACAGTGAACAGCTTGAGAAATTAAACCCATCAAACCAATGCTTCCTCCTCCATAGACAAGATCAAGTCTCTTTTCAACCTACAATCATGACAAATAATATACTTCTGATATATAATTAAAGAAAAACATGCAAAGTTAATTGAATTTCGGCTAATTATATATGAATCTTTTTTTTTTTATGAAAAGTCAAATATATACTTTATAGAACCCAAATAATTAATCTTTGATTAAGATTTTAAAAAGTTGTGATTTTGACTCTCTTATCCATCTTATTGATTCACTTGCGAAAGAGATATTACACTACAAATGTGTGTGTGTGTGTGTAATATACACATCATTTTGGTGTGTATTAAAGATTTTCATTAATTCATACATTCATATACTATCTTCACTTACATATATTATACACATACATTTGTGTGTATTCAAAATTTTCTTTTTTCAAAGTACATTTGATGATGATAAGACTACAAAAACATATATAACCATCTTAATGTGTGAATGTGTTTTCGAGTTATGAAACAAGATATAATCTCAAATGAATAAATGCTTGCAATTTTGCATGAGATTAAGAATAATACCAGTTCTTGAGCCAACTCAATGGCAGCATCCCCATAGACATCTCTTTTCCCAGAACTACTTCCACAAAACACACAGACCCTTTTGAACCTCGACTTGTTTTGTTTCCGCTCATTCTCCATGTTTTGTGTTCGACTCTTTGTCAAGTTTATCTTTCAATTTGAAATGACGATGGTGATCCCTAACCACTCACCATGGATATTATTGTGAAGTGTAAAGAAACAATGTCTTTTACTTGTGTGATGTGTATATATAGTACCCAATCGGTTCAAAAGATATTATTTTTCCTCAAAATTAATTTTTCTTTTCAAAAATGTTTGACATGAAATCACCTTTTTCTACAAATGAAATTGTAACGCTATTTGATAAAACGACTAACAAATTCAATTAATGTTTAGTTGTTTTTACTAATGTCACACCAAAACAGACTAATTTAAAATTTTAAATCAAGGTACAAGTTTTATAAAAATATAATATAGTATTGAAATTATCATTTTCCTAAAAATAATAAATGTGCTTATGATAATAAAAATTCTCATATTTACATTTTCTCTCTAAACTTTTTTTTTTTGATTAAACAGATTTTATCTTTAAAAAAAATTTCAAGTTAAATTATTTTTATTTTGAAGTTACAATTTTATTCCTTTAATACATTTTAAAGTAATATTTTTGGTCTTAACATAATTTTTTTTATAGTTTTCATTTTTATTAATATTACTTTTTTATTTAAATTTTTACCATATTTATTATGGTCTTCATACATTCTTACTATCAACATAATTATTTAATATGTTTCTATAATTAATTATAATTGATTTACATTATATCCTTCTACTTTTTGTTCTTAATTATCCTCCTACTCCTATAAAACAATAACAGTGTATTCCATTAATTCTCTTTCTTAATTTTCTCCTTTTGATTTCGACACTTGTCCTATACTGTATTCTTAATTTATATTGACGTTTTAAACTTTTATGATATTTATTGTGGTTTTAACTTATAAGTTTTATACGTTTTTACTATCGATATCATGTAATATGTTGGTATTAAATAAAAATGTTATTATCGGTTTCCAAAATTAAACATATGAATTTATATGATATTACACCAACCAATATACACTTTCAAACTTTATTTTCGTCTTTCTCCTCAATATAGAATTGTTTCAATCGATACTTTATCTTGATACTTTTATGGTCCAGTTAATATCATATAATCGTCATCCTTTTATATATAAAATGTTAACATTTGAAAATCACGTTCTATGTTATTGGTCATTTATATAGTTTCGTTCTTATTAATTACAAGCGAATTCTCCACCACAACGTATAGGTGACTTAAATACTAGTTATATATATTTTTCATGATAATTATCACCAAATAGCATATTTGGGCTATCTTAATTCTTAAATAAACTCTTAAATAACATATTGGTGTTAATATAGGTATAAGGGTAACTTCAGTTGGGTTGGATGTCTTCAAAATCCATTGCAAGCTATCTTGTAACGTGATTCTCTTCTTGCTAGCTTAATTTAATGTTTGTTCTAAAAAAATCTTAAATAAACTCTAATCCACACTTAGGACGACGGGGCCTCACATACATGCATAAAAACATTATTTTTTGGGTTTAGTTAGCAACACCCAATCTTTATAAAAAATATCACAACTAAATACCAACTTTGAAATTCTCTCTCTCTCTCTCTCTCTCTCTCTCTCTCTCTCTATATATATATATATATATATATATATATATATATATATATATATATATATATATATATATATAGAGAGAGTGAGGTTCAATTGAGAAAAAAAAAGGTTGAGAATGAGGGAATTCGTTATTCACTTATGAATAAAAATATATAATTAATTTTTTTACAGTTTAAGTATAATTTATACTACTTATTCATATATGATTAACAAATTAACTGTAACAAAAATCTGATAAATGTTTTATTCATATATGAATATAAAATATGACGACAACTAATACACATTGTATTCATATATAAACAGAATATATGACGAAAGATGATGTAAAAATATATATTTTAAGTAAGAAACTTTATTACGTGTCATATACATATATGAACGATACTTAAACTATAAATAAAAATTAAACATACGTTTTATTCATAAGTGAATAACGAATGTACTGTAATAAAAAATCTGATAGATTTTTATTCACTTATGAATAACGAGAGCTGAAACTCTAAAAAAAATAAATTTTTTATTTTATCTTAAAACTATATCAATATGGATGTCTATTTATAGAGAATAAAAAATTATGAATTTTTATATTTAAAATAATTTTTCGATAAAAATGGCTTTTTAAAAATCAAAAAAACAAAAAAAAAATATGTTTTTGTTATATTAAGATCATGATTAGCATAGTTTAAGGAAAGATGTTTGGTTAGAAAACACATGTTTATCCGTTATCCATTTCCGCCGGTACGCTTAAGTGTTTTGCGACAAAATAAATGTGTGGCTGAGAATGATTCCCTCATTCTCAACTTTTTTTTTTCTCAATTGAAACTTTCATACAAGTTTGGCCTTTAACCGATATCATATATAATTAAAAGCAACTTTTTAATAAATAGTATAGTTTTGTGCTTTCATAATTTGACCACAAAAGTTTTTTATTTCATATTTGGGCCAAAAATCTACTTTCTTATTTTGGGCACAAAATTTTCTTATATTGGTAGATTTTGTCCTTAGACTTTAGTACATTGGTAATTTCCACCCCTTCCATTGTAGAACAATATTTCCACCCTTTACTTTTATTTCACAGTTTGGGTCCATTGTGTGCATTCAGATCAAAATTGAAACTTTCATACAGATTTGGTCCATCGATTTAACTAATGTCTAAAAAAAGAACTTATACTATACATTTTTTAAATACCATATGGACAAAATCTGCATATAAATTTCAATTTAGACTGAAATGAACTTATATTGTCCTTTTTAAAATACTACATGACTAATTTTGCAGTTAAAAAAATAAAAAAAATTTATGCACCTTTAATTGTTTGGTGTACCCCTATTTGATTTTTTTTTGTTTTTTTTTTGTCTTTTTTATTTCTTTTAATAAATATATTATTATTATTATTATTATTATTTCTTTTGTTTGTTCAAACTATTTATGTGTTATGTTTTCATTCAGATTATTATTATGTTATTTTTTTCGTTTTTTACTATCTATATGTTATTTTTTTAAAATATTTTTGTTTCCGTAATTTATGTACCATCAAATTACTATTATATATTAATTTTTTTTATTTTTTATTTTTTTTAGACTTGTTTTTAGTTTTTTTTAATATTCTTATGAAATAATAATAATAATAATAATAATAATAATAATAATAAGAGAGAGAAATGAGCCGATGGGTTAGTAATAGCTAGGTGGAGCGATTCTTTTCTTTTTTTAATTTATGAAATTGTTAAATTAAATAAAAAAATAGAAAATGAAAATATACTTGTCATTTAAAGAAAAAAAATTAAATTAGACTAAACTTGCAACAAAATCAAACTTTTGGACCGGTAGTATTAGGCCAAAAAAAATTTCGACCAAAATAACAATTTCGACAAAACTTTTAGTTGTTTTTATTTATTTATTTTATTTTTTTATTTTTCTACAATCTTGTCTAATCATAAATCTTATCTAATAAATGAAGGTTTTTTACCATATGTCATCACCTAATTCAATATGCAACATGACATTTTTTAATTTTTTTCAATTTTACTTAAATCCACTTGGCAATTGTGGTTTTTTTTTGGCTTTGTTATTAATTTATATAAAAAAAATCTAATGTAAAAATATAATAAAAAAAATAAGAAAACTTAAATGTCGTCATAAATTTCTCACTTAATTTGTCAATTTAATATATTAAATTCAATTTAAATTCAAATCGACCTTCCTAATTGAAAAAACATAATTTTCGGTCAATCCTTTTGAATTCACAATAATTTGTAGAAATCTTGCAAAACTTGGTTCATTCACAGCTAATATTGATAATTTTTTAAAATTCAGTTTTGTAAATTATTAAACATATAATGTTTAACAAAATATATTATTTTTTTATTAAAAAAAAAAACTCGTGTATTACACGGGTCTCACACATAGTTTACAAATATATTACAACTCATCGAGTAGTTTCCAGAAAAACAGAAACTTAACAATACTTTTACTCTAATATTTATAAACATAAAATTGATTGGTTATTTGCTTGGATTTTTTTACCACTAATTTAACTGAACCAGCTTCAATAAAAAATTAAAACTCAATTCAGTATTTTAGTTTAACTAAAACTCTTCTTATTTTTAAAGTCGTTGTTATGCAATAAATTATTAATGAAAAATTGTAGCTACTCTGTTTTAGTATTATTTGATCTGGAGAAAAGGAAATGTTGAATAGATGGGAGAGAGGAGCTTACTTGTACGAAGGGGATTGCTTTGTAATGTCGATGAAAGAAACCCACGCGCCACCGTCCACCACTCTCTTTTGTTGTTGTAAGGCGGCTATCAAAATGATTACAATTGCATTTAATTTCGATTACTGTCGTATAACAGAGACCATTGATGTTGGAAGAATGCAAAATATATTAAAAAATACACCACTAAACGACTCTTCGTTTTGATAGGAAAATTATACTTCAAATTTTTTCTACTATTTATCTTTCTATTTTGAGTAAATTAGACGCTTCGTCCCTTGTAAATGTGTCAAAATGCATGTTCAGTCCATATTTTCAAAAATTAACTCGGACCATCCATATAATGTTTTTTTCTCACTCGAACCGTCCCTGATGGACATAAAATGACTATGTTACCTTTTCATTTCTTTTTTGATTTATTTTTTAGTTTGTTTATTATTGACAATTTAAAAGAAAAACAAAAATAGGGTCCACCACCGTCACACCCTTAACCTCTGCCTCCACCCACAACCTTCTTCTTCATCGGTTCATCTTCATTCTTATATTACCGGAGCTATGGAGAGAGAGAGAGAGAGAGATAGAGAGAGAGAGAGGATTGTCGTCGCCACCACCACTGTCGTCAGAGATACCGAGATAGAGAAGCCCATCGCTTCACTCTACATGTACAGCACCATCGTCGGAGTTACTGGATCATCTTTGATTTGCAGGTTCACTTACCACCATCTCCGACATCACCGTTGTCTTCTCCGTTCGATTATCACCATCTGTGCACCGCCATCTCGTGCAACTTAGGGTTTGTAGATCTACATTCGTGAAATAACTCATCTTGCTTCTCCGTTCGTAGATCTGCACACTATGGATTTGCACATTGTGGATTAAATTGCGCTTCTGGGTGGTGGTGTCGGAGAATTAAATCACACCCACTGCTGCCTTCCATCTTTCCTGAAATAAATTACACCCTCAGATCTAAGGTCACCTAGGGTTAAAGAAGAAGAAGAAGACAGAGGGGGTGAGGCGAGGTCTGGTCGGAGAAGAATTTGGTCTTCGAGATACCAGCCACAACCATCAACTCTCCTTTCTGAAAAGATTTATGGGATTTGTTAACAGGAATTTGGGGGAGAAGATTTATTTTTCAAATCTCTTTCAGATGTAGGATTAGATTTAGGTTTGATTTTTGGGTTTAATTTCCAATTTCTGTTTTTATTTTGGTGGTGAATGGTGGTGTTTGTGACATCCCCAAAATCACGGCCAGAAAAGACCGGTTTGTTTATGCTTTATTTTAAAATCAGAGTAATCATTTAAAGAAGACTATTGCGGAATTGGTTCCCAAAACGAAATATGATAAGAATTTATCAAAAGCATTTCTTAAAGAAATGTATTTTCATTATATAACAAAATCTCGGGATGTCATGTTCCGATACAGAACAAAAGCATAAACGGATCAAAATAGACCTTACAACAGTTATTTATAACTACTGGCCTATAATCCATTATCTCTCGTCATGTCAACCAACTTATGCTCTTGAGCCACTTCCTGTAATACAAAGAAAACTGAGTGGGTCAGGCTTGGGAGCCTGGTGAGCATATAGGGTTTTCAACCCACAATAATACAATTATTATATTCAATCATCAAACAATCAACCAAATTACCCATCCCCATTATCTTCTTTATTTCTTAAGGTTTTACCCTAAGAATCAACTATCCTTCATTCATTCATTCCTAAAGATTGACCTAAGGAATTGGCACAAAATCCATTTCTACATAAGGCACATCTACCAACTTTATCCTTTAAGCGCCTTTGCCAGTATTACGACATTCACTATTAGGCGCCACTACCTGGATTACGACATACACTATTAGGCGCATCTGCCGACATTATCCTTTAAGCGCATCTGCCAGGATTACGACATTCACTATTAGGCGCATCTGCCGACATTATCCTTTAAGCGCATCTGCCAGGATTACGACATTCACTATTTGGTGCATCTGCCAATTTTATTCTTAGGCGCATCTGCTAGTATTTTGAGATTCTCTATTTGGTATATCTGCCAATATCATTCTTAATTATCTTTCATACCTCATCATTTATCTACCCATGTTTTACCCAACATATTCGTAGATATAAAAATGCATATACAGTTTAACTTATTTAAAACCTATATAAAACATTCATACCACACCCATCTCAAATAAACAAACAATATATAAACACATAACACGTAGTTCATAGTAAATACTTCATATTTATGTGTTAGAAGAAAGTAACTATACACTCACTTGATCAAAATATGATCGGACAGCACTACGGCTCTAAGAGTAGTATTCTTCGGTGAAATCGGGAGATCTTCACACACCGGGCTTCTCGCGGGCAGAGCTTCGGCTCGGAAACTTTTTTTCTTCTCGGGATCTTCGGAGCTTCGGGACTCGCTTCGGGTCTCGGGATGATACCGGGGCTTCGGGGGTTAAAAGAGGGCTTAGAGAGAGTATCGGGAGTGAGAGAGAAGAGATAGAGCAACCAAAATCGACTGACCCTCGATTTCTATTTATAGGGTCATTTTTCAGCTCTCACGACGTGAATTTTAAGTTCTCACGTCGTGAACTTAGTCGTCACTGCATGCATCATCGCAACTTGCCTCTGTCAGGCTCCAGAAGTCATAAATGCTGAGTTCACGTCGTGAACACTGTATTCACGTCGTGAACTCTGACACAGTATCGGGGTTCGCAGCCCGAACTTCAGAAATTTATAACTTTCGCATACGAACTCCGTTTTCGACGTTCTTTATATCCACGCGTAGGTGAGATTATTCTCTACAACTCTCGTTTAGACCCCGTCAGCTAATTTTGACTTTATTTTTATTATATTTTTATTATATTATTTTTAGTAGGCCGGGACAGGAAAACTCCGTTAGAAATTCATAAATCCTTCATCTGACGTCCGTTTTCGTCTGTCTTTTCATCGTTGGACTACTATCGATGAGATCTTCAATTCCCGTTTAGATTGTTTCAGGTAAATATCGCTCGATCTCATATTCGAACTTCGGGCTGTACACTGCTAAGCCGAAACTTCGAAAAATCATAACTTCCTCATACGAAGTCAGATTTGGACGTTCTTTTCATGCATGCTCTCGGTTTAACGTATTCTACGACTTTCGTTTAGATCGCTAAATCCAAATATCGCTTTATCATAAATTCACTATTTACGTCGCGCTGTGTCGTGCCGGTTCTGTCGCGAAACTTCGACATGTCATAACTTCTTCGTTATAACTCGGATTTCGGCGTTCTTTATATTTTCGGAAACCTTGAGACATATACTACAACTTGGTTAAGATTAATCATTCTAAATAATCTTCCATCAAAAAAGTCATTTTTGATGCTTATCGTCTCTAAATTGACTAGCCCGAATCTACGGGCGTTACAGTGTTTGACAGAGGTGACTGGTGGCTAGAGATGGCTGATGGCCAGAGGTGGTTGGTTGCCGGAGATGACCGGTGGTCGGAGGTGGTCGATGGTTGGGGGTTAGAACTTGGAACCAGTTTAAGAAGAAGTTATTTTCTAAGAATTATAATAAATAAAAAATTAGATAAATTAAAACAATTGAAAAATAAATGAAAAAGAAAAAGATAGTGGCAAGATAGTCATTTTATGTCTGCGAGGGACGTAACGTGCAACTTTTAACGGTATGAAGGACGGTCCGAGTTAATTTATAAAAATAGGGACTAAATGCGCAATTTTACACTTGGACGAATCGTGGAATTTACTCTTCTATTTTTTGGAAGAGTAAATTACAGGAATTGTCCTTTTGGTGAGATTCTTAGTTTGCTTCCTAAATATAAAAAATAAGCGGTTGCATCCTATGGTTTGTTAATAGTGCAGTTTAGGCTCTTTGCTTCATATAAAAATATTAATTTACCCTTTTTTTTTCTTTTAACATATTATTATTATTATATATATATATATATATATATATATATATATATATATATATATATATATATAAAAGTTACGAAGAAAAGTAATAGTAAACATTGTGTTTTTTTGACAGAAATGGTCCTTTGGTTATGAGTGGGTTATGGGTGGGGTTGCAACTGTGTTTCTTTTCTTTTAGGGTTATTTTATGTCAATATAGAGATTGTTTGTCACACGTGTTTGCTTCTTACGGATACGTCTTCTGTACACGTGTCCACTGGTTCCTTCACCTGGTTAATCCATCAGATTCCACCGCCTCAAATACTTCTTTATTCTTTTTAATCGCTCACTTCCTCACTTCCACCGCCTCTCCCTTCTTCTGTTTGTCTCTATTCTTCCTGTCGATCGTCTCCACTGCCTCAATCCACAAGTTCTTCTAATCATCTTCTGAAGCTGCGGCGCCACCGCCACCGGCACCACCTGCACCGATTCTCCCGGTGGAAGGGGATGAGGAAGACGAGGAATATGAAGCGAAGAAGAGTTATTCCCACCGCACGACCCACCCACCCTCGATGAATAGTAGATGGTTTGGACCCACGCCATCACCGGTTTAGCTGCCGGCTCCAATACCGCCTGTTTGGAGCCGGAGTTGCTTGAGACTTGCCGCCTATCCCTTTCTCGACTTCGACCTATCCCTTTCTCGACTTCGATCAGGTTCGTCACTCTTCAAATTATGATTTAAGTTTCTTCCGATTTTGGGATTTCCACGATAATTATCAGTCAAGCTACGCAACATTAAGCTTAAGGGAGAAGGTTTTCCAGTTTTTTTACTTAGCATAGGATAGTTTAAACCAGCTGGTCTAACACAATTTTGATAAAAATACGAGTTGTAGCATCTCTTATAATTAATCTAATATTTCCAAATCAATTGATATCGACAAATATCAAAACAAATACAGGATAACGACTTACTTTGGCTTGGTTTTATTTGGTTTTACGTTTTCAAGGTAAGCTAGAAATAAAACATTAAAATATTTTGTTTTTAACCTTCACAACAGCATCAATGAACCCTGGAATGCAGGTACCCATGAAGTACGAACAACAATATGCAAGAAATTGAAGGGTAAGATCAAATGAAATTTTTTCGGATATAAATGCTAATGATGATTCCTTAAATATTTTTCTTTTGTTTCTTGTAGAGGAGAATCATACTTCTTACACACCTGATGAAATTGTGGTTAGTAACGGGGCAAAACAGAGTTTACTACAAGCAGTTCTTGCTATTTGTTCCCAAGGAGACGAGGTCTGCGTATACATGTGTTTTGTTTTTTTTATCATTTCTGTAAGAAAAATTAAATATTTATTGGTTTTCAGGTTATAATTCCGGCTCCATTTCGGGTAAGTTACCCTAAATCCCAAGCCAAATCGGGCTTAAATCTGTTAGTGAAAGTCCATCAATAACCAGACAACTCTTTTACTTACAAATGTCATGATTTTGGTTATTGTTTGTATCAGGTGATCTACAAAAGACTTCTGTTGCTATGAGAGGTTGTGCTCATGAAGCCAGCATGATATCATCTGCTTTTGAATCACATTGCTCTCACTTCTGAGTGTGGTTCCATGCTTGAAGAGGTATAATACATTCTGATATGATATAAATATAAGAATATAATAAAGCAAACATGAGTTTCATGTGAGTCAATAGTAAATGATGTAAGTTGCAAGCTTTTATGGGGCTCAAAATTTTTAGATTATCAAACATGAATACAAAATAAACAAGCATATTTAAATATGGGGGGTGGCTCACTTTAATGAGGAATTTCAGATTCTCTCACTTGAATGCCTAACTTTTTGGTTGCATTTTCCATGACAAATAGTGAAACAGAAGTTATCATCAGGTGGGAAATATGTCTCTGTAAAATTGGCCATGTTCAGATTGTTTCAAGCAAGCAGGTTGGTTTTCGTTATATGTCAATATTTCCTTTCTGGAAGGTTGTTTGATCAAACATTTATTGTGTAATTCATTAGTTGTGGTGTAATAGCGTAAGTATTATTCCATTTCACTTATTTAAACTATAAAATATCCATATAGTTCATTTTATTTTAACGATTTGAAATTAAGAATTATTGATAATTATTACTATTTTGTTTAATTTACAGTAACACCTTTGACTATAATGGCACATAACAAGAAAATGTTGATAAATGGGTTTGTTTTCTTAATTTCACATGCCATAAATAATCTATTACGAATCTCCACTAAAAGACACATTTCATAGAGTTAATACATCAATCTACTGAAAATGCTAATATTAATGTTCCTAACTTGCTCATTTTTGGTCCCTAAATATTACTGATTGTATCCTTAAGAGAAATTATTATAATATTGTTTTGGTAAGATATAAGGACATGCAAGATGCATGAAAGTGTATTGAGTTAATTAATGGAAGATGGTAATTTTTTATTTTTATTTTTGAATTTTATAAATAATGAATGTATTTGGTTTTGAGTTTGTTTATTACTTTCATTTCCTTTATAGGCATTATACTTTCAAAATCATTCCTATTATAGCATTGTACTTTTATTTTGCATGCTTTGGTTGGGTTGGACATTGCTATTATGATTTTAAAATTTATATAGCTTTAATGTTCACTTTATATGATTTTGCAGAAGTTGAACAGTGAGAACAAAGCTATCAAGGATTTTGGTATTTTGATCATTTGAAATTTTGGATGTCGAGTGGGGGATAACAGATGCTTATCAGGAGGAATGTACGTGTGAGACTGTTGGTCCCTCAAATATTCAGCAGACAGTATAGACTCCCGCTATTGTTATATTGTGTATTATAACATCCTATTATTGTTTACAACCATTTTTTTATAGCAGCATACTATAAAAATACAATACAAACTTAAACAGATAAAGTTTGTTCTATAAAGTTTGTTCTATATTTAAAAAGGATACAAAAAGGTTTCAACTGCAGTCCAATAGGCATCATTTACTTCGGTTGCACCCAATATGTCGTTTCGGAAACAACATCGAATCCTTCTGGCCCCCGTGTAGCAGGGGTAACATTTCTAGTTATCATTATTATTATTATATAACAATTTTATTTGTTCTTTATTTTAATAGAACTTGTATAGACTTCTTATAAAATTATTTTTATTTTTTTAAATTAATTATCTAAATTATATATATATATATATATATATATATATATATATATATAATTTATTCTTAGCTTTATTTATTTATCTTTGTGTTTTGTGGTTAAAAATTTTTTTAAAATTTTTGACGTCTTACTCAAATGTAAGATTTAATAATTTTTTTTTTTTACGTTTTGTTCGTTCACATTATATAACGTTTTTTTTTATGTTTTGCTCAAATAAACAAATTAAAATAGAACCCCGAATAACTATCAAACATCAAATTTAATCATTTGATGTTGTTTTTTTTATGTGTTTTTCGTTTATATAATTCGTTTATGTGTTTTACTTTTTTTTATTCAGCTTTAATAGGTTTTATTGTTACTTTTTAAACGAATAATCTTAAATATTAAGATAAACAACTATGATATTGTCATAACAACTATCGAAATAACAAATATATTTTAACAACTATTTGTTAAAAAAATAATTTTAAATAAAATTTACCGCTTGTTAATACCCATTAAATATATATTGTCTCAAATAATAAAAAATTCCCCTCGTATTTATTTTAACAAAAGAAATAGGATTCAAATACAATATCTTAAATTAATAAATAGTATAATAACAACAAGTAAAATATATAAACGAATGTTATAAACACGTAAAACATTAAATAGTATTTATTAATTATTTAACGTTGATTTTATTTACAACATTCATTTATATGTTTTACTTGTTATTATATGATTCATTAATTTAAGATATTATATTTGAATCCTATTTCTTTTGTTAAAATAAAATACGAGGAGAATTTTTTATTAATTCAGACAATATATATTAAGACAAAATTGCAAAAATGGTCCCTGTGGTATGCATCTTTTTGGGGGTTTGGTCCAAACCACAGGTTTTTTGGATTCGTGGTCCGTTTGGACTAGTTTCATTGTAAAACTGGTCCCCGATAAACTTGAAAAGAGACTTTGCCCTTTTAATTTGTTTTTCCATTTACTTAATTATTTTTTTTCTTTTATTTAAATATAAATGTTAAATCAAATCAAGAATGAGAACCACCTGCCCTCTCTCTCTCTCTCTCTCTCTCTCTCTCTCTCTCTCTTCCTTCCTTCAGTCAATTCCTTCCCGTTTTTCTTCACCACCGGCCAAGGAAGAGGTTGTCGGCCACCAAAGTTGCCTTCTCCTTCCTCCTTCGGCCGAGCAACACCACCTAAACACCCCTAAAGATCCTCATTCTCTCCCAACCCCTTGTCTGTAGCGTTTTCTGTCGAATCAGGGGAGAAGAAAAAACGAGGAGCTACCAGAGCAGCCGCTCTCCCCACCATTGTCGGCGATGACAGCCACCAACAACCACCTCTCTTTCTTCTTCACTCCTTTCTGCCATCCATAACAGATCCAAAAACACCACCCTAATTGCCGAAGCAAATGAACCAAGGAGGGCTCGCCAGAGATCGGATGCTCCCCCCTTCCTCGGGATTTCTCAGCCACCACTGGAGCAAGCTTTGTTCCTTTATTTCTCTAGTGTTTGTATCTTATTGTTCGAAATCGAATACGCACATCATTTATTGGTATTTGGTTAACATAATTTCTAGGTTTTTGAAAGGATTTATGGGTTTCTGATCTGTGTTCAAGAAACAAGATGGACTTGGGTATAGATTCAAACTTATCCCTGACTTCTCCTCTGTTGGTATCGTATTGGATGAATCCACATTGAGGTTGAACAAATGATGGAAGTTTAAGATCGATTTAAGGTTAATTAATTGTGGTAGTGGTAAGAAATCAAATATGTCGTCTCCGATTCAGGGGCCTTCGTTTTTTTTCGAGAGCCCTACACCACCTCCTTGTCGTTGAAATCAAAATTAAAATTAGACTGGCTCTAATATGGGGATGTTGAAATAGGAACTGAAATCTAGAGATGGGGAAGATGAAAAACTGAAACATCGCAAGTCACCACCATCACCATCGATCTGGGTTCCATTTTTACAGGTGTATGCATGTGTGTGTTGAATTTGAACATGAAGTTAGTTTCTAGGTTTTGTTAGAGGTGGAAAATCTATTTATGGGTTATGATAAGGAAGTAATTAAGTATTATTCATAACTCAGATCGTGTTCAAGTAGAAGAACTTGGAGCTTGGGAGTAGTCTCGGTGGAGAGAGAGAGAGAGAGGTGGGTCCCATTCTTATTTTTTTAATTATTAAAATAAATAAAATATTACTAGATTTAAAAAGAAATGAAATAAAAAATGGAAAATAAATAATCCAATGGTATTACAGTAATTTCACAATTCGGAGGGACCAAAAACACAATGAAACCAGGGCAAAAGGACCACGAAGCCAAAAAAGTCATGGTTTGGACTAAAACCCCAAAAAAATGCATACCACAGGGACTGTTTTTGCAGTTTTGTCTATATTTAATGGGTATTAACAAGCGATAGATTTTATTTAAGATTATTATTTTAACAAATAGTTCTTAAAATATAATTGTTATTTCGATAGTTGTTATGACGGTATGATAGTTGTTTATCCTAATATTTCAGACTATTCGTTTAAAAAGTTACAATAAAACCTCTTAAAACAGAATAAAAAAAAATTAAAACACAAACGAATGATGTAAACGAAAAACACATAAAAAACAATATTAAATAATTATATTTGATGTTTGATAGTTATTCGGGGTTCTATTTTAATTTTTTTATTCGAGCAAAACATAAAAAAAAATGTTATATAATGTAAACAAACAAAACGTAAAAAAAACAATATTAAACCGTATATTCGAATAAAACGCCAAAAATATTAAAATATTTTTAAACCACAAAAACAAAGATAAATAAATAAAGTTGAGAATAACTAATATATATATATATATATATATATATATATATAATTAATTAATTAAAAAAAATAAAATAATTTTATAAGAAATCTATACCAATTCTATTAAAATAAAGAACAAATAAAATTGTTATATAATATAATAATAATAATAATAATAATAATAATAAATTGTTAAAAGAAAATGAAAAAGGAAAAGGAATGGTAAGTTAGACTTTTTATAGTATGAAGTAAGGATCTAAACTGCAATATTTATAACCACATGGATACAACCTACCAGTTTTTGAACTTAAGGACCAAAACTACGAATCTAACCAAAGCACATAGACTATTTATGTAATTTACTCTTTTTTAAATGTAGTTTTAATTTATCTTTAAATTATTTCTAAATCTATCTATTATGTTTCAGGTGAAACTCAAACTTTCAATCTTATGGAAGAAAGATGACAACGTTGGACTAAAAATATTTTGATATTTTCCTACTATTACTATTAGATAAAGGTAATAACAAAATAAACAAAAAAATAAATAAATAATTAATGGATACATGTCATTAATTTATATAAATAAAATTGAATAAAAACAAAAAATAAAAATGATATTTAATTTATTCAAATTTAATAACAGTATTTTGAAATATCTCATCATTTTTATACTATTATTATTAATTAAACTGAGTAGAGTTTGGTAAATTTCTTCAGTTTTTCCGTGGATCAGCAAGTCTTTTATAGAAGAGACCCCAAATCAATAAATAAGCACAATATAATACAAATATAATGTTAAAATACTATATATTGAAAACTGTAGTTGGAGCGAAAGGAGTTAGATGCTCAAGACCTGAAGTCAACGGACATCTTTCGTGAATATATTATCGTTTTAGTAGGCCGAAGGGACGTGAAATACTCGAATATGGCTAAGAGTAGTTTTCCACACACAAAGTGTATGTCCATTTTGACATGTTTCATACGTTGAGAATGAACTAGGTTAATAGAGAGGTAAACCACATAGACATTAGTCACAATAGAAAATAGTGGCTCTATGAACTAGAGTATGAAGCTCGGAAAGAAGATTTTATAGCAAAAATGATTCCACCGTGAAATTGGTTACATCGCGATATTTGGATTTTGTACTAGATCGAGAAAGTGTAGCATGTAGTTAACAGACCAAGAGATAAGACTATCACCTAAGAAAACATATCAACTTGATGTTGATCATCATGCGTCAGAACAACCACTGTAGTCGAGATTAATATACGACACAAGTTATGTAGGATCCTAAGGACATAGATTTAGGGTGAGTTCGGTTGTGTCATTTAAATACCAAATAAGACGTTTAAGAACATTGAAATGTGGAATCCGAGGAGTGTCATTCAAAGTTCACTTTTCATTCTCAATGGATATGTGTTATTCGATGGTTGTTACTAAGTAATCAAATGGAAAAAAGTGAAGTGTGGCTATCTATTTAAAATGTCATTTAAAGTTCACTTTTCACTCTCGATGGATGTGTGATATCTGATAGTTGTTTCGAGGTAAGGTATACAGGTTGAGTGTTATTTAGGTTAAAGAACATAAGAGTAACACCCATATAGTGCATCCCACCATGACTTCAACAACGATGCATAAAAGGAACGTAGAGACTTTGAAATTGTCAGCATATGCTTAATCCACCTTTCCGTTCCTATAATTTAACAACAACTGAATTTTCTTTGTTTATAATAAAAATATGTGTTATGTTCAAAATTGATTTGTTTATAATAATATACATTAATTCAAGGGTAATTTTAGAAAATGTCACAATATTTTTGTTATTGGTTAAAAATAGGGTAATATTCATAAAAGTCCTAATATTTTGACCAAATTAACAGAAAATGACGAGATAACAACTAAATCTTTGAAACCGGTTAAAAAAGGTATTTCCGAAGTTTTAG